GCCTCAGCTCCTGTGTGCGGTGGTGACGCCCATGTTGGGCGCTGTCATCTCACCCCTCTGTGCCGGCCACAGCGGGCCCCAGGCTGCCGTGGGATGTCTCCCCATGAGTATCCTCAGGATGTCGGAGATGAATTGAGCTTCCTCACACAGCTGCCACCTCCTTTATTCTCTGCCGTGTGACTGTCACTCCAGCCTCCCGGTCACTGGGGTCAGAGCTCAGAGGCCCTGACTTCCCGGATGATCTGCCCCAGGCTGCAGCTTCTGCTCCCCTCCACTGGCCCCCCGCCCTGCCCCAGCGCGGGGCTCCTGCCACCCTGCCCAGGCCTGGAGCGCCCCTGCCGACTCCCGTAGTCCTTTCTTGTCCCCCTGCAGCCACTCCACACACAACCTCAAGAAAGCTGTCTTGGCCACTCACCTCAGTGTGGCATCACCCCCTTGAACGCCTCACACAGCTGTTCCTGGCCCTCAGAAAAGACCAGATGCCCCAACACCAGCCCCTTTCCTGAGCTGGCCCCTGCCAACCTCATCCTCTTCTCCGGCCTGTCAGTCCCCACCCAGGGGTCCCTGTCCCTGCCCTGTCACTCTGCCCTCAGGAGCCCTGCCCTGTTACTCCCCCCATCAGGTCCCCACTCCAGTCCCCCCCGCCGGGTGTCTCTGCCCGTGTGGGTTGGCCCTGTCCTGTGATCCCACGTATGTGACAGGCCCCCTGTCCTCTGGTGTGGGGGGTACTGCACAGTGGGGGGCCTGCCCAGCATGTCCACTCCTGCAGGGACAGTGGGTGTGTTGAGGAAGATGAAGGAGAGGCAGGCCCTACCCCTGTCGCTGGGCCGTGGGTGCGTTTGTTTCTGTCCCCTCTGCTGCCACAGATCGTCTTTGAAGCAGTCACTCGAGGCAGGAACCTGGCTGTGGGCCGTGAGTCCTGGAGCTGGAACTCATCCGGAAAGCTCCAGGGAGAGGGAGCCGCTGGCGGCTGGAGCTGCCGCGCTGGGGACGTGTTTTGTAAGTAGGTCGCAGGATAGAAAGTGAGTCCCCAAAGGCTTCCTCGGGGTGTGGTGGGAGGAGTGAGAGAGCCTGAGCTGCATGGCTTCTAGGAGGTGTCCTTGTGAGCTGTGGCCTGGGTGGCAGAGCCACAGGCACCGGGTTTTGTCCCCTCCCTCCTGGCTTGTGTGCAGGGCACAGGCACCCAGACACTGCCCAGACTGACAGTGGCACTGCAGCTGTCACTGAGCTTTCTACTTGCTGAGCGCTTCATGCCCCGCTTACGCACCCGGCTGTGCCCTCCGAGGGGGGTGGTTTGCTCCTGAGCTGTTCCTTGTCTCTGTGTTTCACCAGGTTTCTATGATAGATGCCCCTGGGGAGAGTTTGGGAAGATGGATCAGGAGAATAGGAACAAGATCAAGTTAGGAGGCATGCTCGCCCCTCACAGGAACAGGGAAAGAGTTAATTAGCATTGCTCAAATGCAGTGCAATTAATTATGGGCCAGTTTTCTTGCACCCGGGGGCTTAAGCTGGCCTAGAAATCTTAGTCCCAGGTTAGCTGTAAAATCTTGATTTATCTCCCTGTATAGGTGTGCTAACACATTCATTGGCTTGAATTATTTAAAGTTATCATGAAAAAGGTCCAATTTCTATTGCCTGCCCTGATTTGCACTTTAAATATAGTTCCCTGTTGCCATTACTAGAATTCATGTTGAAAACAGAAAAGGGAAAATTACTTGTAAACAACAATTTGACATAGAAAAGCACGATTTACCTTGGAATATTTCTCCAACTGCACATTAATGCACTAAGCCCAAGTTTTCAAGGGTATTTTTCTCTGCTAAATCTGGAAATTAGTACGAAAGCAAACAGCAAACATTGAGCCCCAGAGGGCCACGCTTGCCCCGTGTGCCCCTTGGTTGAGGCAGGAGGGAGTCTGTCCCTCCCTCCCTCCCTCCCTCCTTCTCGCACTCCTGCTTGTTGAAGGCGACAGGCAGATGAAGCCCGGATTTTGTTGGGAGGACTTCTGTAAATGACTCATTATTTTAAGATTGGATTTATTAGTGGTATAGCATATTCTGTGCCTTCAAAATACATTTGGTTCCTTGATGGTTTCTTTTGTTTTATTTAGATTATGGAAATGTACAGATAAAACCAATTGGCACTTTATTTTTAGTATTCGTCTAATGAGGATTATCTTGCCTTATGATTTGCTCTTAGGACTGAAAGTGTCTCTGATGCATTTCTTATGTCATTGCTTTAAATAGTATATAATTTATATCTATCATGGGAAAAAGGAGTTTTTAATTTCACAGCAGAGTGATGGGGAGAAATGACAGGCTTTTTGTTTTTTTAAAGGCTATTTTAACTCCAGGTCCTTGTGTTTTGGGATAGAACTAGAATATAGTTTAACTTCAGTTCAGTTAAGCCTTGTCTGAATAAAGGAATGGTGTCTTGATTCTGACAAGCAGGGTTTGTGGAATTCACTTGATTTGTTGGCAATATGCTCCTTCTGTGTAATTCCTACTGTAAACAGTTACATTTTCAGATAATACTAGCTGCTTACTTATGAAAGGTGATGCATTAGTAATTCTCAGGACCAGTACCAGATAAAGACACCTTTCCTGCACTACAGTCTGTACTAAGGGCTGGGTGGCTTTTGTGTTCACATACTCTCCCTTGTCATGTAGCCTTCTGGCCTTGCAAAAAATTGAGGCGAAAGTAAACACTGGTTATTAGATGATGTCACTGAACCTGCTAAATTGAGAAAGTTATTTTACTTGATGAAAGAGGAAATTCTAACTCGGAAATCTTTGTCTGTGTTTGGAATTAGGAATTGATTGGGGTTGGGGAGATGGGTTTTTGAATCAAAGTCATGTATTAGTTTGACCACAGTTTTTATATCCTGCAAGTTCTCAGAATGTTCTGTTTTCTGGAACTGTGGTGCTAAGCTGTGTTAACGTGTTGCAACCTCCAACTATGATATTCATTAAATAATTCTATTTTTCATACCTTCTTGAGGTTTTTCAACATGCATGTTAGCTTGGAGGTAAATACAATAAAACAAAACAAAAAAATTGAAGAACTAAGGAGCAGAATTTAATGGCATTTGGGGTTAAATCTCTCCTTTCTTCTTAGAATGTGATGCATCATTTGGGCTTAGCTTTTCCCGTGTATGTGTGTGTGTGTGTGTGTATATATGTGTAAAAAGTGAGAAAATGGTTCAGATCCTGGTAAAAATAAATTGAGGCACACTAAACTCCTCCACTCTTCTGGGATAACACTGTCCAGGATAAGGATTAGGCAGTCCTTAAGTGGTATGACCCTAGGGCCATAGTGAAGACTTGCATTCATTCATTAATTCAATGAATATATATTGAGCTCCTTCTGGGTGCTAGCTGTGTTCTTGGTGTGGGGGCAAACAATAAATAAAACTATATTCCTGCCCTCATGGAGCTTACCACAAACTGATATATAAGATAAGTAATAGATATACTTAAACATGTCTGATGTCAGTGGCTGATCAGTGCTCTGGAGCAGCAGTCCCCAAGCTTTTTGGCACCAGGGGCCGTTTTCACGGAAGACAATTTTTCCACGGGGAAGGGGGAGTGGTTTCGGGTTGATTCAAGTGCATTACATTTATTGTGCACTTTATTATTATCACATTGTAATATACAATGAAATAATTATACAACTCACCGTAGGTTGGGGCCCCCTCTCTGGAGGATAGTGAAGCAGGTGAGGCAGAGGAGGAGGGTGTGGCGTTGAGGATTCCCTGTTTCATCTGCAGTGGTGTCGGGGGGCTTCACGTCATGTCTGCTGTTATCTAAATTCCTCACATTGAGGTTCCCTTGGCTTACATTTCAGTTTCACCCTGCCTTTCGAAATGTCATTCTGGAAATGGAAACGGTTAAACTATGTTAGTCATTTGCTTCTTAGTGTGAGCATGTTTTAGATTATTTCCTTTGAGCAAATGTTAATGGAGAATTTGAGGCAGTGTATGTCTGGGGGTGGGATGGGGAAGGAATTAGAAGGAATCCGAATGGGTGAAGTTGTCTCCTGGTCTGAGTAGGGTCTCCTCTGCCACCCAGCTAGCCCTGCCGCTGACACTCATTATTGTTCCGTGGTATTGCCTCTCTGACCCTGTCAGTACAGCACTGCTCTGTGGCATGGCCCATTTATTCCTGGGAATGCTAATCGGAGACAGCAAACTCCATGCAATGCTTTCCTCTTAGCTCTTCAGGTGAAATACACTTAAGGTTAAGGTATTATTTTTTGTTCTGTTAAACCTCCTGTTGGCTTATCCTTTTGCTTTAATTTTCAAAGTGTTACTGTCATTTTGCTATTATTTTTAATGCAGACCTTACATGTATCTCTAGGGATATCTTTGTCTATTATGGGCTCTGACTGAAAACATTAAATCATCCTAAGTGGGGAGTCATTTTTATTCTCCCCTGCTGTCCTGGCCCCGTTGCCTTGGTAGGTTCTGTTAGGACATTGTGTGGTTCTGTGCTGGCTGCTAGCAGTATCTGCACCATGCTTCTAACCCCACAGCCCCTAAGAAAAAACTCGCTCCAAATTTAGCTCTGCTGCCTGCCAGGCTTTGGCAGTGATTGTGAGGGTGGGAATTTGTACTTCTTCCCTCTGGATTCTCAGGAATTCTCCTTTGCTCAAGAAGGCACCAGAATTAAGGTTTCTAAGAAGTAGTATTTTTATATACATCTATTGTGTAGTTTATATCTGTAGATGCAAGCGGTACATAGATTTTAATTTGTTTGAGGTACTGTTTCTTTTGGTTGGTAGCCTAAGCATGTTGGCTTCGTGTCGATGAATAATTTTAGGTCTGAGATGAAGAAAGCCAGTAATACTAGTTTGCAGCAGTGCAGCTGCTTAAAAATGAGCAAAACGTGTCTTGTTAAAGTATCTTTTTTTCCTCATTATAAGCAAAAACTGTTGAATGTGAGAACGAACCTGGATTGCTAATTTTAATGTGAAAATGTTTCTTTTTTTTTTTTTTCCAGCTTTTGCTTTGGTTTCTGAAGATATAAAGAAAGAGGTCACGCGGTCTCAGGTACTAATTCTGATGATGAAATCTACTCCTCCCTTCTAAGATTTATTCATATTTTCTTGAATGGGAACTGTAGTGGTTTCATTCTTCAATTGTTGTGGTGTTTCCTTTTTTTTTTTTTTTTGGTTATATGAATTAATATAATTTTGGTCAACATAGACTTTGAAGCCCTAACAGCAACCTATAGATAGACTTGCTTAAAAAAAGAATCCTTAAGGCAGATCCTCTAGGTTTTAAAGTCTTTTTAAGAAAAAAGGTGTTTTGACATAGCGTTAGACATTTTAGCAATCTTGTTTGGATGCCATAGTTTTCCCCAGTCGTATCGTGGCTTAACCTTGGGCTTAATTTTCCCAATTTGTGAAAGAATTTTGCAATCTCACAGGGTCACATGAAGCTGATGACTGTTACCTTGAAGGTGGTGCCATGTGAGAGGGCATGCTGGGGACCCTGGAGGTGACCGTGCTGCCAGACCCCTTGTGCAGTCAGAGCCAGAAACCTAGGCCTGGGGGCCGATGGAGAGAGGGCAACACTTGTCCAAATCTCAGAGCTGCTGCTTCATCACTGGTTGCATTCAGGAGCCTCCTATACAGGTTTACTAGTTGGGCTTTGCACTAGATCAGTTTAGCATATGAGAAAGAGAAGCAATATTTTAAAATATCAGTTGTTTTTATTGTATTAATTAAAACTCAGTAGGCTCTATTTTTTACCCCACAATTGGTATAAAAGCATTTTTTAATAGAATGTTTTCTTTCATCAACAGAGTGTATCTGTTCTAACTATACTATGGGAGTCCTACACAGGGGAAATGATAATAATAATTTCTTATGATTTTAAGACCCTTTGTGGTTAGTAAAGCACTTTCATACATTTTACTTAATTTGATCTTCTCAATGATCCTGTTATTGCTAAGCAAAGCACATATTCCTATTTACAACAGAGAAAATTTAACCTCAGAGAAGTTAAGTGATTTGACCAAGGTCACGTGATTATTAAAAGGTAAAGTTAGAATCCAAATTTTCTGAATCTTTGAATTTTTTCACATGGTAACTGTTTCATATTACACATGCCTGTGCATTATAATATGTGTGTTTGACAATGATAAGCATCATTTGTGTTGAATTTGAATTGCTCCCTAAGGGTTATTACAAGGGAATTAAAATTTTGTTTAATGAATTTAAAATTTTAGTGCATGTTTTCAAGTATGAGAACTATATCCTTTGCTTTAAATACATACATAAATATAAACAGAGATAGATAAGGTGAGTCTTATGTCTTAGTGTCATTTTTCATGCAGAGGGGTTAAAACACTCATGGACTACATCTATTTGTAGGCTACACAGCCACGAGGAGAGGCAGTGATGAAATGTCTGCTGCGTACCATACCTGAGACCAGGAGATGGAGAAGAATCCATTTGTCCAAAGTTGTCCAAAGTCTTTAGATGAACCCAGAGATAGGATTTAAGGCTCTGAATAATAACGTGGATTTTCAGTTATTATTAGTTCATTACTCACGGCAGAATTGACCAGGATCTGCCCTGTCTTTGCTGCCCTGAAACGACAGGGTTGCCTTAGTCAGGGGCCCCGGGCAGGCTGTCTGTCAAACGCAGGGCAGCCCTACTGGGGGCTGGGTTTCTTCCTAGACAATGTGCAGCCTCACTGGTTGGCCTCGGGTTTAGCCTGTCATCAGGATCCAGTGTGCTGGTGCCCCGGTGTGCTGCTGTCTGGGGCCTGACCTCTGGGCCTGGCTTTCTTCCCCGGTTCCTGGTGCCTGGCAGTGTCCTGGATTCTGATCTGCGACAGCTATCAGGGGCCTGCCCCTGCAGGATCGTCCTCCAGGCCACAGGTGCTGCCTCTGCCATGGCCACGTACCTGTCTTCAGCCTGCAGGGTTGCCTGGTCTTATATCCCACAGTGGCTTGTTCCACTGCGCCTGTGTGACATAAGGCTGCAGCTGGTCACTGGAATCAGAGTGCCGCAGTTCGTCTTGTCACCACTGACCAGCTGTGGGACTTAGTAAGCCTCACTGTGCCTCAGCTTCCCCATCTGTAAGGTGGAGTAATAGGACCTACTTCAAAGGGCTGTTTTGCAGATTGTATGTGTGTGTGTGTGTGTGTGTGTGTGACAACTTAGAACTGTACCAGGTCCTATTTAAATGTTTACCTGATAAGACAACAAGAAATGTCTTATATAAACTTTCATAAACCATATGTTCTACCTAAACAAAAAGAGAAACTATAGACCTGCTTTTTAACTGCTTTTATCAGTTAAATTTCTTTTGTGCTGGTAGTTGCCTTCATATGAAGTAGTAGGTGATGATGATGGTGATAGAAAAAGTAGCAGCCAGTGATTACCGAGCATTTGCTTTGTGCAGACACTGTGCACAGCATTTTACCATCTCATTCAACTCACAGTGCAACCCTGTGAGGTGGGTCTTGTAATTATTATTCCTATTCCTGTGGACACTGAGGCCTGAGCTAACAAGTGATGGAAGCAGAATTAGGGCCCAGGCCTCATACGTACACCTCAGTGCACTGATGAACACATCCTGTTTATTTTATTCAGAACCTGGAAGGTGGTGGTGGATAGTCATGGCCGGGTGGAAGATTCTGTTTTACTTCCCTTTCCTCTTGAAAGAGTTCATATCAAATTCTTTTGAGGATGTTATGTCTTGTCTTCTTTTAATGAAGAACTTAAAAACTAAGCATTACATATATGGATTGCAAATGTTTAAATCCACTGTGGCTTAAAAAATGACATTTGTGTCAAAGGGTGACTTTGTGGCTTAAAAAATGACATCTGTGTCAAAGGGTGACTTTGTGGCTTAAAAAATGACATCTGTGTCAAAGGGTGACTTGGTTATGTCTTTTCCCGGCTGGGGTAGGAGCTGTCTGTGGGTTAGATGCTTTAAGAACAAATCTCTTTTAGATCTGAGTAGCAGTTCAGTTGACTTACAAAACTTTGACAGTGAGCACATTTTGATTGATACTGGTAGTCAGTGCAAGAAACATGTGGCAGCAGAAATAATGAAATAAACCACGTGTTTTCTTCTTCTTAGGAAGAACTAAGCCTTTTCACAAGGGAAGCTGGAGACAGAATTTTAAGTATTCTGTTAATTCATTCATTTCGTCTAATTTTCTTTTTCAAAGGGGAAATTAGTCAAGACCATTTTGGTTCCATCTCAATTCACCTAATTCAACGGTTCCTTGGCTGTTTAATTTTTACAGTTTACAAATTGAGCCCTTTGAAATGGCTAATCATTTCCTAGCTATTGTGTCAGCCAGTCTGAGCTGCAGTGCTAATAACAAATAGAAAGATATATAATTTTGGTTGCTTTTCTTTAATTTCACAAAGAATATGGTAAAAAATCCAGTTGTTGTTGTAGCTTGTTTAAGTTGCTCAGTGTGGAGCTACAGAGTTCCAAATACTTTTCATTTTTCAACTTGTTGATAAAGGTGACTTTTGTTGTCGATATTACTTTTAGCTTACTCTCAAAGTATGCTCACATCTAATGACGCGTACTTCCTAGAGAACATCTCAGGAGGAAGGCTGGGCACACGTTACCGTGGTACTGTGAAGAAGGAGTCAGGAGACCTGGGATTTAATCCTGTTTCTGTGGCTGGAGTGACTGCTGGGCCTTGGGAAAATCCTTTATCTTTTCTGAGCCTCTGTTGTCTCATTCATGGAAGGGGTGTATTGGATTGAATCATCTCCAATGCTGTTTTAGATCTAATAATTCTCTTTTTCCATGAGCCTCATCTGGCAGCCAAAGCGGTGGCTTCCCCAGGAGAAGGCGGCTTGGCCTGGGGCAGGCAGCAGGTTGGCGGTGAGAGCCGAGTGGCGCCTCCAGAGCTGAAGCCGGCTCCTTCCCTGAGAGCAAGTTGTCTGGTCGTCCTCCTAGCCAAGAGTGGTGTTTAGAGGGTGGACGGCATGAGGAGTCCACACAAGCTGACCTAGGGCGATAACCTGGCTTCGGCTCAGCGTATTCAGAGAATAGAATTGAGTCTTTTTTTAGTGGATTCTTCCAGAAGCTACATGTTTTATCAGGATGAAGTGAGGTGTCACTTGATCCTGAGAGCTAACAGATCAGCATGTCACTATGGGTTCTTCTCTACTTAGTGGCATTTCCAGTCTTGAGACAAAGGTAATTTCAGAATGTGCCACTGAAGGTGGTCACTCCACTGTGTTTAGCCCTCTCTCCTCCCTGTCCATCGTCACAGTCCCTTTGGCTTTCTTACGGGGCACATCTCTTCGTGGATACATCTTTTGGCTTTTAGGCTGCTCCAGGTTTTGTTGGTAAAGGCTCACGACCACATTGCATGTTGCAGTCTGTGAGGAAAATTGAAGGATATCTGCCACCGTCCCATTGTCATAATTATAGCATATGGCTGCTAAAAGCAGAAAAAGGCAATGAGGGAGAAAATTCCTCCTTCAACTGCAGAGAAGACAATGAAAATGGCAGATTTAGCTGTTGACGCTTTGCACCTTTCCAAAGAAATCTTTTGAGAGTTTCTCCCTTGGATTAGACAGAGTCAGGGTCAGGAATTTCTATGCCCACGTCCAGATTTCTGTGTCTGGAGCTCTCCACACTAAGGCACCGCTAACACAGACGCTCATGAATTCTGGAGACTGCCGTAGACTGACCTCCTCTGAGGCCCTTTGCAGGCCCCTAGGGCTACTTCATAGGTAGGAGAGGACATGATGGTAACGTTCTAGATGACAGTGTGTCTGAGCCCAAAAGCTGGTAAGTACAATAGTTAGGTAGAGCTCATCTTCATGAGGAACACCGGCCAGAATTGAGGCTCTCTGATGTTTGCAAATGCCTGATAGTTTACAAGGTTTGTAAAGCGAATCCTTCCGAGAACATCAACCAGTTTAAGCGTTCACTTTACACAGGAGGAAAGAGTTTCAGTTCAATTAAGTGACTTGCCCACGACCACGTGAGAAAGGCACAGCCCCATGCACAGGTCTGTGGTGATGCAGAAGTCACTCCCTGCTGCTTTGTTCCCGCAGGTGTTGGTCTCACTTCTTCAGGAAAGCAGCAATGCATGCCATGCATTTATTCAGTGTATTGCCAGCTTTGTTATGTGATGGGATTTATCTTTTTCTCTTTCATTTAAAATACAGGATTTGGAGAATGCAAGTGGCGTATCAAGGAGAAATGACATAGGTAAGTTATGATTTTTTTTT